CCTCTGTTGTAAAATTCTTGTGATTTTGATGCAAAAAATTCGGTCAATGCATTTTTGAGGCATTCTTCATTATTAAATTTTTTTCGAAGAAGAAAGTTTTGCAAAGAACGAAACAAATGGTAATCGGAAGGGGCAATATCAGGAGAATATGCAGGTTGAGGGAGAACTTCCCATTCCAACTGGCACAGCTTTTCAGCAGTGATTCTTGCAGTATGTGGTTGTGCGTTATCGTGGTGAAGAATTATGCCCTTCCAATTAATCAGCGCGGGTTCTTTTTCTCTTAAAGTTTGGGCTAACCTTTCCAAATGGGCACTATACACTGCACGTGTAATGGTTTGGTTAGATGGTAAAAGTTCATAATGAAGAATTCCTTTAAAATTCCACCAAACACACAACATCACTTTTTTCGCATGCAAGTCAGGTTTTGGCGTGGGCTGTGGAGCCTCATTTTTGTCCAACCATTGAGGCCGCCTTTTCAAATTAACATACAGCACCCATTGTTCATCTCCGGTAACAATTTGCTCTAAAAACGGCAAACAGTTTTGACGAGAGAGGAGCGAACTGCAAATTGTGACTCTTTGATTATGGTTGTTGTCGGTCAACTCATGAGGAACCCATTTTCCAAACTTTTGGACTTTGCCAAGTGCACGCAATTGATTGGAAATTGTTTTCTTGTGAACAATTTAAAGTTGTCGCAAGCTCTTGTTGGGTAATTTGAGGATTTTGCACCAAAAGAGCTTGAAGAGCTTCTTGATCAAAATTGGACACACGGCCTCGACCACTCTTGTCATCTAACGAAAAATTTCCCTTGCGAAATTTCTCAAACCAACGCTGGCATTTTCTGGCGCTAACTGCATCTTGACCAAGAGCACTACAGATGTTTTTTGCAGCCTCACTTGCTTTTCTTCCTAATTGGAACTCGTAAAGCATGCAGTGCCGAATATGCTCTTCATCCACCATCTTCTTAGCCCTAGTTTTGCAACAAAAACCAAACCAAACACAAACTTTTTCAAGCAAAACTTGTTAATTGCACTTCACACGTTCTGTAGATACCACGTGTTTGAAGGTTATGTCAATACAAGTCAATGCCAAGCAAGATTTTAAACGAATGTTAAAAACGACATTAATTATTACTAGACCCGATATATAATTCCACTCGTGTAAGGAAGTCAAATTCATAGAGACGGGAAGTAGAATGATAGTTGCCAGGAGTTGGGAAGAGAAATAAACAGAAATTTATTGACTAATGGATACAGAATTTCAGTTTTGTAAGATGAAATGTTCTGGAGTTTGGTTGTACAATAATGTGAATAAACTTAACACTATTGAACTGCACACTTAAAAATGGTTAGGATGATAAATTTTATGTTATACTAGAGGCCTGATGCATGAAGATTCATGCAAGAATAGGCCTTTCTTCCCTGGCTGCCAGCACTGGTTTCCCTCCGGCACCTGGGACCCAGGCCTTCACTCTGGATGCCACCTTCTGCTTTCGTTCCAGCCAGAGCTGCCTTCCGCCTTCACTCTGGCCCTGCTGCCCTCCTGTAACTCCCTCCACCCCCTGAAGCCCCTTTATAGCAGGTATCCTGCCCAGCCCCAGCTGCTCAGTGCCTGCACGCAGGTGCTGCCCAGAAGACTGGAGTGGCTGGGTGGGGGTGGTGGGGTGAAATGCCTGCATCCTTGCTATGGTAATGATGCAAGCATCCCAGCCTGGCTGCCACCATCTTTGTCCCATCAATTTGCATATTCCGTCCTTATTGGCTGTGGGCATTGCCATATTTTGTTGTGGAGTGATGGTCAATTTGTATATTCCATCTTTATTATATAGGATGCATGTTACTACAATTAAAAAAATAACAATTAGGTACATGACATGAAGCAATAAAGAATTATCTCCATGATATATTTTAAGTAATGAAATAAGACAAAGAATAAAAGTTTGTTTAGTGTGCTACTATTTGTGGGAAGAGAAAAGGGAGCCAAAATACACACACACTCACACACATACACACAGACACACACACACTATCTGGAAAGGTAAGCTATACAAGAAGCAGTGCTCTAGCTGGTTTAGCTCAGTGGCTAGAACATCAGCCCACGGACTGAATGGTCATGGGTTTGATTCTTGTCAAGGGCACATACCTTGGTTGCAGACTCAATCCCCAGCCCTGGTTGGGACACATGTGAGAGGCAACCAATTGATGTGTCTCTTTCACATCAATGTTTCTCTTTCTGTCTTTCCCTCTGTCTTCCACTCTCTCTGAAGATCAATGGACAAATATGCTTGGGTGAGGGTTAACAACAACACAAAAGAGCAATTCTAGCCCGGCCAGTGTGGCTCACTGGTTGAGTGTCAACCTATGAACCAGCAGGTCACAGTTTGATTCCCAGTCAGGGCACATGCCCAGGTTTCAGACTCAATTCCCAGTGTGGGATGTGCAGGAGGCAGCCGATCAGTGATTCTCTCTCATCATTGATGTTTCTATCTCTCCCTCTCCTTCCTCTCTGAACTCAATAAAAAAATATTTTTTAAAAAAGAAAGTGACAATGTAAATTGAATCTGTAGAGGTACTGGGTATTAGGAATAAGGGGGAACATGCACATATCTATATTTCTTTAATAGAGTATTATAAATTCATTAACAATTTAAGTTACACACCCAATCAGAGAGAACTAATTCTCATAGTTTTGGTATGCCCTTGTTTTTATTTATATTGTTGGAAAGTATTTGCTGTTGTATTGTAAATGTACATATTTTGTGATTGAAACAACACACAAATCACATTGACCAGCTTAAAACTGCTCCTGCTTCCTTAAATCAGTTGGGTGATTTCAGAGTTATTTCAGAGACAGCACTGGGCATGTGAGTCCCCTTTTGCACAGCTGAACTGAGAACCAAAGTTTTCCCCTCTCCTTTCAGAAACAGAGAGTCCACTGTCTAGGAAGATCCAGTGCTGAAACTTCTTACTATAAAAGGCCAAATTTCAAAGTCCTCCAATTAAAGCTTGCCCCATCAGCATGCTTCCTCACAGCTGTTGCCCCTCACTTCTTAAAACCATTCAATTGTAAGCCATCTGTAAGTTTGGGTTTTAAGGAATGCAGCTCCCTGTTCTCCTCACTTAGCGCTTTGCAAATAAAGAGACTCTAATTATCTGTGTGAAACTCACTGTGGGCTAGGATGAAAACATTTGTCTCCTTCTAGTCTAGATATGTCCAGCAGAGATGAACTCTCTTTCAGTTCATTTATATGCTATAGATCTCATTATGTCTCTTGCTTTCTTACAATACTATATTTAAGCAACCATCTTTATATGTCTACTTTACTTACTATTTTAATACTGCAGGATTTTGTAGAGTACACCTCCCCTCTACATTTCCTTAAAGGTGTACATCTAGGGTGCATCCAACCCTGGCTCTTACCCCAACTAATGCTTAGATCAGTGGTCAGCAAACTCATTAGTCAATAGAGCCAAATATCAACAGTACAATGATAGAAATTTCGTTTGAGAGCCAAATTTTTTAAACTTAAACTTCTTCTAACACTACTTCTTCAAAATAGACTCACCCAGGCCATGGTATTTTGTGAAAGAATCACACTCAAGGGGCTAAATAGTTGCATGTGGCTCATGAGCCACAGTTTACCAACCACTAGCTTAGATGAACGTTTTCATCACATGTGCATCTTTCTCTGAAATATATGCCCAGAAGTGGGATTATTGAGCCATAGTTATACAAATATTAGTTTTTCTAAATTCTGCAGATTGCTCTTAAGAATGGCTATGTTATTCTATTGTAAATTTTTAAAAATAAATCTTTATTGCTCAGATTATTGTTACAATTTTTTCTCCCCCCCCCCCCCCCCCCTAGCTCCCATCCACCCGGTTCCCACCCTACCCTCTACCCTTACCTCCCCCACCCCCATTGTCCTCATCCATAGTTGTATGATTTTAATCCAGCCTCTTCTTGCACCCGAAACCCCTTTTTTCCTAATAATTATCAATCCACTCCCTTTCTTTGTCCCTGATTCTATTATATTCACCAGTTTATTCTGTTCCTCAGATTTTTAATTCACTTGATTTTTAGATTCACTTGTTGATATATATATGCATTTGTTCAGCATAATTTTTATCTTTTTTTCTTCTTCTTCCTCTTCTTAAAGCATATATTTCAGCATTTCATATAATACTGGTTTGGCGGTGATGAACTTCCTTTAGCTTTTTCTGATTTGTGAAGCTCTTTATCTACCCTTCAATTCTGAATGATAACTTTGCTGGATATAATAATCTTGGTTGTAAGTTCTTGCTATTCATCACTTTGAATATATCTTGCCACTCTCTTCTGGCCTGCATAGTTTCTGTTGAGAAATCAGCTGATAGTTGTATGGGTGTTCCCTTATAGGTAACCAACTGCTTTTCTCTTGCTACTTGTAAGATTTTCTCTTTGACTTTTGCCCTTGGCATTTTAATTATGATGTATTTTGGTGTGGTCCTCTTTGGATTCCTCTTGTTTGGGGTTCTGTGCGCTTCCTGTACTTGTAAGTCTATTTCTTTCACCAGGTGTAGGAAGTTTTCTGTCATTTTTCTTCAAATAGGTTTTCAGTATCTTGCTCTCTCTCTTCTTCTGGCACTCCCATAATTCTGATGTTGGTACTCTTGAAGTTGTCCCAGAGGTTTCTTACACTATCTTCAACTTTCTGGATTCTCTTCTCTTCTTGCTTCTCCAGAAGTGTCTTTTGCCTCTTTGTATTCCAAATCTTTGACTCAATTCTTGCATTCTTCTAGTCTGCTGTTGGATCTCTGTATAATATTTTTTATTTCAGTCAGTGTATGTTTAATTTCTAGTTGGTCCTTTTTCATATCCTCGAGTGTCTTGTTAAATTATCGGCCTTTTCTAGGAAATTCTTTTTTTTTTTTTTTTAATATATTTTATTGATTTTTTACAGAGAGGAAGGGAGAGAGACAGAGGGTTAGAAACATCTGTGAGAGACAAACATCCATCAGCTGCCTCCTGTATGCCCCCTGCTGGGGATGTGCCCACAACCAAGGTACATATCCTTGACCGGAATCGAACCCAGACCCTTCAGTACGCAGGCTGACGCTCTATCCACTGAGCCAAACTGGTTTTGGTATTTGGTCTGGATTTTAAAGAGGGCCCACAGGAAGGAGGGGAAGGCATGGGTTTCTCTGGTCTGGGTGGCAGGTGGGCTACAGGGTGGAGCCATGACCCAGGCTGGTGTGAGACCCTCTGTCATTTCAGTAAAAGACTTGAGGATCATTCGCAAAAGTCATCTCTGCCCAGCCCTGTGGGCTCGAAGCCCATTCGGCAGGCGCCTCAGGTCCGTGAGAAGGTCTTCACGAGGCATCCCCTCGCCTGCCTCCTGAAGCATTGTGGGAAGCCAGGCTCTCCCAGGCGGTGGGCGTTCTCCATCCTTCACTGGATCTTCTGCAGGTCCTCAGGCCCAAAGGAGGCAGGCAGCAGCTCCTAGACTGTCCTGACAACATAGGTGCCATCCTGCTTGGTCATGTAGACAGCCCAGCTGGAGCCAAACTCTCTCATGACTTGCCTGCAGGCCCCACACAGTGGGATGAAATCATCTTGCAAGTCACTGGCAATAGCAATTGCCCTGAAATCCTTGTATCCTTCTGAGATGGCCTTCTGGATAGCGGTCCGCTCAGCACAGATGCCCAGCGGGTAGCAGGCATTTTCTATGTTGCACCCGGAGAAGACCTTCCCGTCCCAGGTGAGCAGGGCGGCCCCCGCGGGGAAGTGGCTGTAGGGACAGTACTCGGACCTCTTGGCCTCCTGCGAGCAACACAGCAGCCGCCGGACGTCCTCGGGGTCCAGGACGCGGGCGGGATGCTCCTGGGCCATGGCGGGCCAGGGTTTGCGGAGCAGACAGGGAGCTCCGGGCTCAGCTGGGCTGGGCCTAGGAAATTCTTAAAAAATCTTATAACCATGGTTTTAAACTCTATATCCAGGCTTTTGTTCTCGATTTCTTTTGTTTGAGATCTCCTTCCTTTTCTCAGCATTTCCACTGCTTCCCTGAGTTGGTAGGGCAGCTTTGTGGCCCTGGGTGTCCTATATGGTTAATGGGTCAGCCTACCAGTTACCTGATGTGGACACTCTTGGTGCACCCCTTTGTGGACTGTCTGTATAACCGTGTTGTAGTTAAGTCTGGATTGTTGTTGGTGTCACTGGGAGGAATTGACCTCCAGGCCAATTGGCTGTGAGGACCCCCTGTGTCTATAATGGAAGAATTGCTGTGCTGGAGACACATTTATGGGGGAGGACTTGTTCCCGTAAGGCTTTGATGCTCACTGAGTCTGTCTCTTGAATTTGTCCTTTATGAGAGTAGTTTAAATCTGGTGTCATTTTACACCGACCACTAGATACACTAGTTTCCAGATCTCCAATAGGGTGCAGTACAGCTACTATCTGAGGCCACCCAGCAGCAGCTAACACAAAAACTAGTTTTCTCCTCTTTGCTTGGGATTTGGAGGTTTTGGAGCTGGAGCTGCAGTTTATTTTCTTAAGCTGCCACAATTCAGGCCATTTATATGCAAAAGCAGCTGTGTGGAGCCTGAGCGGGTTTGTAGACTGTGCGGAATGGGGCCTCAGGGCGGGGTCTCAGGACATCACTAGGCTGGGATGTGGCAAACAGCAATGGCTACCTTCAGCAGTTTCTGCCTTTTCCCGTGTTTCCAAGTCCCCTCGCTCCAGCGCAATTAACAATGATTGCTGCATGCACCTCTGCGAAAAAGTCACCCTCACTTTCGGACCCCATGGCCGAAGACCAGCTTCTCCCCGTAGGCATCTGGGTCCCCCGCATGACCCCAGAAACTGGATTTAAAAGTGATCGGGAGCTTGTTTCCCTTCAGATTGAAAAAAAAGCCACGTGCCCAGTCACCCACCACCACCCTGGTTCGTGTACCTCTGTACCTAGGCTTTCAGCTTTTTAGCGCTTGTGCTCCTTTCTTTCAGCCAGCTTTCCTGGGGTTCTGGGTGATAGACGTTTTATCTTTTAGTTGTAGTTTTTAAATTGTTTTTTGAGGCGGATTATTTGTTTACCTATGCCACCATCTTGGTTTTTCTTGACATCTCAATTCTGTTTCATTGGTGTATTTGTCTGTTTTATAGCAGTTCTATACTGTTTTGATTCCTATAGCATTATACTATAGATTGAAATTGTGAAGTGTGATGCCTCCTACTTTGTTCTCCTTTCTCAGGATTGTTTTAGGGCCTTTTGTGGTTTCATATGAAAGAACGACATTGGAATTGGTAAGGATTGCATTGACTCTATAGTTATCTTTTGATAGTATTGACCTTTTAACAATATTAATTCTTCTAATCCATGACATTGGTATACCTTTTCCATTTCTATGTGTCTTTTTTTAAATTTCTTTCATAAATGTCTGGTAGTTTTCAGAGTACAGATCTTTTGCATCCTCAGTTAAATTTATTCCTAAGTATTTTATTATTTTAATACTATTGTAAAAAAAGATCAATTTATTTATTGTTTTCAGAAAATTTGTTAATGTATAGAAGTGTTCTCAGTTTTTGAAGAACCAAAAGATAGATATAGAGACAGTAAAGCAACAAGCAGACTGTCAAATTACAGTGGGGAGGTTGGGGAGATCTGGGGGAGATAAACGATCAACCGAAGGACTTGTATACATGCATATAAGTACAACCAATGGACACAAAACTCTGGGGAGGGAGGATATGTATGCGAGGGGGGGCATTGGTATATGTACAAAAATAATAATTTAATAAAAAAATAAATTAAAAAAAAAGAAGTGTTCTCAGTTTTGTATATTAATTTTGTAACCCGTGACTTCAGGTCAAGATGACTGTTGGGCCAAAGACCCCCCTGGTCTCTGGTCCTGACCGGTGGCGACCCCGAGAGAGAGCCAGGAGACCCACATCAAAATTTCAACTAAATTATATAAAACCATCATTGAGAATACCTGAAAGCTAGCTGCACCGAAGGCCAATAACTAAGGATATAAAGAAGACATATGAAATTGGTAGGAAGGGCAGAAAAGTAGAACATGTCTGATCCCACACCCAGGGTGTGGCAATAAGAATTGGAGGGGAGGTCCTGACCAGGTAGTTCAGTTGGTTAGAGCATTGTCTCAATATGTGAAGGTTGCAGGTTTGATTCTTGGTCAGGGCAAATACAAGAATTAACCAATAGCCTAGCCAGTGTGGCTCACTGGTTTAATATTGACTAATGAACCAAGAGGTCTCCTGTGCGATTCCCATGTCAAGGCATATGCCAGCTAATGGGCTCAATCCCTTGTAGGGGGTGTGCAGGAGGCAGCCAATAGATGTTTCCATCTCTCTATTCCTTTCCCTTCTCCTCTCTCTAAAAAAGTTAGTAAAAACGTATTTTTAAACTAGTTTTTAAATAAAGCAATAATCCGAGAGGATCCAAGATGGCTGCAAAGGTAAACACTTAACCATAGCCGCACACAACAATTTCAATAAAATACAACTAAAATATAAAATGGACATTACCCAGAGCTACAGGAAAGTTGACTGACTGGAAATTCTACAACGAGAAGCAAGGAGAAAACCAGAAGGAAAATCAGAGGAGCTGTAAAAGCCTAAGGTATGAAGACATGCTGTGCGCACAGAGAGGAGGGGGAGGCTGAATGCCTGGCTGGCATTCCCTAGTGGGAAGGAGATAAAAGCTCTTGTGCCGAACCCCAGACCCGATAGCACTGAACCCCAGTTCTAGGCCAGATCCTGGGGACCCAGGCTCAAACAGGGAGCCGGGGCTGTGAGATAGAATCCCAGGGGAGCGGCAAAAGGCAGAGTCCCCGGAGGCACGCACATTGCACGCAGAGGACGGACTGTTGACTCTACTGCTAGATTGCCCTAGTGGGAAGGAGACAAAAGCTCCGGACTGTGCTGAGCCCCACTTCCGACTGCTCTAAACCCCAGTTCTAGGCCAGACCCCGGGGATCCAGGCTCATACAGAGGGAGCTTGGGTTGTAAGGCGGAACCCCGGGGAAGCAGCGAAAGGTGGTCCCGGAGACGCGCACGTTGCACGCAGAGAACGGGTGGTTGGCTGTGCCAAGGGATTGGCCTGGAGGGAAGGAGACAAAAGCTCCGGTCTACTCTTAACCTCACTTCCAATCCCACTTCCAACTGAACTGAACCCCAGTTCCAGGCTCATTGGGGAGAGACTAGACTGGTAGAAGGTGAAACTCGAGGGCACCTCACTCTCAGAGGTGCTTGCAATGAGTACTGAAGGACCCTGAGGAAAACTGAGACTCAGGAGCTGCAGAGGGTGGGGCTGACAGAAGCCACGGCTGTAGGCTCCACCCTGTAACTCTGCCCCATTCAAGCAGAACACAGAGACTTTTAAGGCTACTAACTCAGGCAAGCTGCGAAAATGCTGAGACAAGAAAATAGATCACAAACCAGAGTACTGATTGGAGGAGAGGCCAAGATGTTGGTGTGGGTGGGTGGCTGGTCTGCCGCTCCTACAATTTAAAAATTGAAGCTGATATGAAGGACATCTATCGTCCAGGGCCACGGGAGGGAGGTGCTGGGTAGTTGATGGTCAGCAATTGACATGGTGGTGGGAGTGATGAGGGACCGATGGGGCTCTTGGAATGTGACCAGCTGGAGAAATGGAGGAGTGGCGGGTCCAGAGTGGCCAGGCCCGAAGCAGCAGCAGCCAGGCCCGGAGCATCCAGGCCCAGAGCAGCCAGGCCCAGAGCAGCCAGGCCTGGAGCAGCAGCATCCAGGCCCGGAGCATCCAGGCCCGAAGCAGCAGCAGCCAGGCCCAGAGCAGCCAGGCCTGGAGCAGCAGCAGCCAGGATCAGAGCAGCCAGGCCTGGAGTATCCAGGCCTGAAGCAGCCAGGCCTGGAGCAGATGCTATGCCTGGGGCAGCCAGGCTCAGAGCAGCAGCATCCAGGCCCAGAGCAGCCAGGCCCGGAGTGTTGAGGGGTCAAACCCTGGATTCACAATGAAAGGAAAGAAGGAGCAATGCAGCCAATTCGGGTACCAGAGTGTTAGGTCCGTCATCACAATAGACTCAGAGAAGCTCCCGTGTCCCTTCACCCAAAAGGTCTGAGAGTTGCCCAGACGACAGCAAAGTGGGAGAAGAAAACTGAAGGCTACACAAGGGACTGAGGTGCCAACATGGAGACATCTGAAGAAATTAAAGACTGAAGTGGAAGCTACTTCTTTAATCATGTTTCTGCTCATGCTAGCATCTGTTAGCTTCCAGTCTTCTGCAAAGTCTTACTCAAGTCCAAGGACTCTGAGTAAATCTACACCAGCAACAAAAGAGACTCATTTAGTAGCTAAAAATATTAATATGCCCATAATTCTGATTTCTCATGTTATTGTTTTGCATTGGCATTGTTGTTATTACTTAATAGCCAGAGTTTTGCTCTTGACATTCAAGTTTTGAAAATAACATATATGTGGTTTAGTTTCTGCAAAAAAACCCCATAAATAAATAAATAAATAAATAAAGCAATATTCAATCAATAAATGCATAAATAAGTGGACAACAAATCTCTCTCACTTCCTCTCTCTCTTTAAAATCAATCAATAAATAGACGAGACCGGTTTAGCTCAGTGGATAGAGTGTTGGGCTGTGGACTGGAAGGTCCCGGGTTTGATTCTGGTCAAGGGCACGTACCTTGGTTGCGGGCACATCCCCAGTAGGGGGTGTGCAAGAGGCAGCTGGCCGATGTTTCTCTCATCGACGTTTCTAACTCTTTCTCCCTCTCAATTCTTCTCTATGTAAAATCAATAAAATATATTAAAAAAATAAAGTCAATAAAAAAATTGGAGGGGATATGTTGGCTGTTAAGGCCTCTTCTGAGGAGCAAGGGGTTCCAGTCCCTAGCACAGAGCTCCAGTGCCA